AACTCACGAAAGCTATTGCATGAAAACAAGTCCGGTGACCCCTTCTTTTTATTGTTCCAATATGATAATAACGTCGAAAGGAATCATCAGAAAAAAAACTAGAAAATTCTATGGAAGGAAATTTGCGAGGTGTGAAAATTGCCTTTTTTCTAGATTTTCTGAAATTCCGCTCTGTAGATATTTTTTCAAAATCTTTGTGCATTTTCCTTTTCAAGTGCCAAATGCAATCACTGAAAAAAAACACGGGGTCCGGGTTAGTTTTCAAATCATTTAAGCCACAAGCTAAAAGATACGTCTGAATAAGCCTGTGATAGCATTGCCATGGAAACTGCTAGTGACAAAATGACACCTATTTTTGAATAACCAATGATTATATAATTCAACCCTGTAAAAGTGTTCAACTGGCCTTGGTCAGTCTTTTTGTTGTATTCTTTCAAAGTTACAAACCATCAAAAAGATGAAAACTGGTACCAGCCACCTGAAATTTATAAATATTTTGGGGTGTGAAGATTTGCAAAATGTTGAAATAGGGCATAGCATTAACTCTGCTACGAGCAAAGAATATGCTGCGTACACATTTATTCTGTTTTGTTTTGACCTTCTGTAATCTAGTTTTACTGGCCCTACCCCAACTTATAATACCATAAGTTAGATATGGGTAAGTGAAGGAATAATACAACTGTTCTAGAGTGTGAACATCTACCTAATAGCGTAATTTATTAATAATTCCTACATTTTTCTTTAATTTATTGTTGATATGCAGGATTTGGGGTCCCCAATGTAAACTCTGATTAATGATACACCTAAATACTTTATTTGACATTTACGTTCAATTTTATGTATATATATGTACACTTATTCTTGAAGATGAGATTACCATATAGTTAGTCTTAGTTAGGTTAATGGATAGTTTGTTAGGAAATAATAATAATAATACTAATGATAATAATAATTATAATAATAATAATAATAAAACATTCTTTTCTTAGATTATTATTACACATATCAACACATTTTTCAATGTTTGAGCAGTTTATCATAATTTTTGTTAATATTTTAGTGAGTATAGTGAACAATGGTTTATCATCAAAATAATACTAATAATAATTGACTGGACAATAAATTTTTGGATGAGGGCCATAAACTTGCCATAACCTTATCAATGATTGATTAATTTGGGATAATTGAGTGAGAAGCTCATGGCCTGAGTTGTTACTAGGTACATGTATATACCAACATTTCCTGGCTTCACATGGTCTTTTAACAGTTGTTTGTGTTTCTTAAAAATAAGGTCAACTTTAAACACTATTGGTTTTCTTAGTGAAAATGACTATTTTCTGGCTATGAAAATTTTTTTTTTCAAATTATAGAATCAGTCTGTCTCACCAAACTCACCAAATAAACTCCTTTATAAATAAACTTTCCTATAAACTCACCAAAAGCTTGTTTTGCTAATTCTAAATCTGCATCTTCTACCAATCTGAAAAAGACACAAGCAAACAAAGCCAGTTAGAGATACTGATAACGAGTTAAAATAATTCTTTGAAATTAAGGGCTTTGTGCCACATTTTCAAAATAAGAAGAATCATCATCATTTCACCAGATCTCTTTAAAACTGCAGACACCAAATGTAGTCACCAAAATAGAGGATTCTGAGCAAAGTTTTGGTAAAAAAGTTGCATTGCTTTTCATTGACAGCAATTAGACCTGGTAATTTACAAAAGCCTCGAAATTTGATTGGTAATTTCTATTTAGTGCCCCCTAGTTTAAGTGTTTAGAACAAAGAGAAATATCAATGCACTGACCAAAGTGCCTCTTGGTCTCTGAGCTGCTTAAAAAAACACTTACTTCTGTCTTCTAAGCTTTTCTGCTAGTCTTTCTTCTTCTGTTAATTCTTCCTGTGAGAGTAAGGGGCAAAATCATGGACAATACTTTTAGGAGCCATAACAATTGCTACAGATGTAATGCAACATTTTCCTCACCTCTTGTGATGATTTACTCTCCTCCTGTCTCTTAAGAGTTCTTTCCTTTGCCTTTTCCTCCTTATCCTGTATAGCCTGTTTGACTGTTTTTCTTTTCTTCACTTTAGCTTGAGGAGCTGCTTCTATCAAATTGACAACAAAGTAATACAAGTTCCAGGACAAATAACACAGGCATCCATGTGATTTCATGACTAATAATTAATAGAACATAATACATGTTAGCAAATGGTCAAATGGTACAATGCAGAGTCAGAAAGCTAAAGGGCCAAGCTAAGGCAGGATGGAGTGCTGAAATAGTGAAATTGAATTTACTGGGATAGATGTAATGACAGACATCTAAGAATAGAATAATCACAAACAAATAGAATCATACACTGAAAACATAAATATTGAGCTATGCTCGACTTGTTTGATAGTAAGCAATATTCCTCTCTATCAAAAAGAAAACCCAATTCTTTTAAGAGATTGTTTGATCATCTTCTTTCTTTCCGTGAGATGAAAAGAAAGGTTTATTTCAACGAAAAATTTTAAGGCAACCCTAAGGCTGTCTATTAAGGGGCATTACACTGGGTTTCACATGCAGTGAATTACAAGGATACTGTACTCAAATGAACAGCGAAGAATAACACGATTGATGTCGTTTAGGATGTTTATAAACGATTTAAGGAAAGAAAATAATCTAGAAAGAGAATTAAAAGGAAACGTGAAGACACTGTTGGTGAAAGAAGCCGTGAAATGATTAAGCAAAATTAAAATTTGGAATTGTGAAGCATCATGATTGTGATCAGTACAGATGTTTCATGACCCGATTTATCATTTACCGGTTTGATTTTCGGATGGCTTCGATTTCTTTTCTGAATCCTCTTCTTCATCGAACCAGTTTTCCTATAAACAAAAACGTTTTCCAAATTAATCGACCTTTAATGCCGATCTCAGGAATTAACGTTTTGTAAATTACGAAGGTAAAATTCTTACCTTAACATCCTGATCTTCTTCGTCCTCCCCTTCCCATTTATCAGATTGTTTTACGTTAAAGCCTAATGGTTCGAAGTCTTCATCATCTGGGAAATTTAAAATTAATTTTACAAATGAGACGAAAGCTAAATTAATTCAAAGAAAATCGTACATGTGCGAGAGAACTTACCCCAGTCCGCCATTTTGATTTCTAACAATGCTCGCATTGGTGTATGGGTATGGTATTTCTTAATCATTACGCAACGAAATTTCCGCTTCGAACGTTTTATGGCCCGGAGGACTGATAAGGAATCGATATCGGCAATTCCGATGACTAGCGATAGTCATTTCGATTAACATGCATGAGACCCGACGTGTAAACGATAATCTGCATGATGAGAGCTATTTAAGTCCCACTACGGGAAATTGATTTCGTTTAGTCGCCCTCATTATCCAAATATTCTAATGCAGTTGTGATGATAACCAATTGTGATTCGATTTTAGTTGTACGAGTTGCATTTTTGGAACGCGCGAATTCAAGAGTACTGTATCATATCATCCGTTAAAAGTATAATGTCCAACAAGCTGGAGGTTCCTCCCTATTTTTTCCATCCTCGCTTCTTCTCTTTCATTTCTTTTTTTTTTTCCCTTAAAGGTGCCCTTATACACAAAAGCGCAAGTTTCCAGCCAATCATTATTATCTATTAATGTTGCATGGCCGCTTACAAGAGCTTTCCTGCTGCCAAGAAAGACTCAATTGATAAGCCAGCTCTCCATAATGCGTTACTGACTCAAGAACAGCCAAAATGTGAAAAGATGCAATGATCCGCCACATTCTCAGAGGATGTCAGTGTTTCTCAGCAAGTTTTACAGCGGGGAACAAAGGAAGTAAGATTGTTGTGACAAAAAAGAAACTCATATAAGGATCCAGAGACGGTCAGTAACAGTTTGAAGGTTACTTGACAGTTGATTATTTTAACGGGACCGTAAAATGTCCCAGTTAAGGTTAAAAACAAAAATTCAATCTCTTGACTGCGTTGTCGCAATGAACTACGAGCAGAAGCGGCCCCTTCCCATCTTTTAGTTAAAATCCTTCACACGAATGAAACGAAATCAAGGATAAAATACAGGTCGGCGCCTCGCACACCTTCTTGACCCTCTCATTTCTAAAGTTCGAAGTATTGAGCTTTAAGCAAAGTACATAATATCATTTCCTGGCATTCTAGATAGGATATCCTTGCGAGCCAAAAGCTTTGTGCGGGAAGTGAATTTTGGTTGTATTCAACCAAACATTTCCATGCGTGCCCTTATAGTTGCAATAGATGCTCTCTCCACTACGCCATACGACTCTACGTAGAATTTTTATAAGGACGTGGTTAAGAACGAAATTACACCCGATATCTATCAGTCTACTGCACAAACGTGTAATATCCAAAGTATTTGTAGGGAAAATGAGCAGGTAGAGAATATCAATTACCCTAAGTTTCAACTCTTAAATTCACCTTCCCATTCACCAAAGGTTCAGTACAGCTATTTATCTACTGCAATCACTTGCTATTTCGTGTTGTTTCTTTGTTGATTTATTATTTCATTTCACTTGATTAAAATGTAATAGTTCGGAAAAAGTCCACACTATGGCCACTACTTCGTGTAAAGAAGCTGCTTAATCCAGTCAATGCTCAGTGGAAAATAATTCTACTCAAAGTCTATCAACTGGCCAACGACAGGGGAGTGTTGAGACTCGTGTGGCCGCGGGGAAGTGACATGACTTGCTACACTTCCTGAAAGATAGAAAAATTAAACAATAAGAACTCTTGTTAAGAAAGGCTATGCACACTTGACATCCAATTTTTGGTCGTGAAGAGAAAAATAACAAAACACTGAAGAACTGAAAACTAATGCAGAGGAAACAGAAGCTAACCTTAGGTCTAAAATAATACGTCGGATTTTGTACTTTTAACCGCCAATTCCGTTGTTTCATTTATCACTTAAAGTTTATTTCTGTTTCCTCCATGTGTACACTGCCTCGTAAGTTGTACAGTTATGAGAGGAACACGATTCCACGTCTCTTTGTTTATATACATTTCTTTGCTTAAACAGTTGAAACTCAAGTCGTGACATAAAGAGAAGCACGCTTTTTATACACGACAGGAAACACAGTGGTGGCGATAAACAAGTGGCAACTTATTTCTTGCTGACAATATTCTACCCTCACACCCCCCCCCCCTCAAAAAAAGAGGATAAAATCAGATTGTAACCATAAGGAACAAAATTGAAATAGTTAAAACGAAAGATTTTAAGTTTACCCTAATTGTCCTTTTAAGCTCACCTCGATATGAGAACGGAGACGGTAAATCATGGCGCCTTGATAAGTCTGTTTCGTCTGAAAGCAATAAAAAGAAAATCCACGTTATTGATCCAGACAAAGTTGACGTTTTTCAGTATTTATAAAAATGGAAAGCAACATTCTTACGCTGTGTGTTCATATCAAACCATAGACCAATCAGCTGCAAAATGAGTAAAAAAACCCTCAAATTTCAGTAGTAGGTTTGGGTCAGGATCTGAACCAGTGACTGATACTCGCTGGTGGCCACTGAATCTTTTTTTTTCCTGATTACTTTGGCTACCAAATTTTATTTTTAACCTAAATGAGGCATGTTTTCACGCAAGCTGGGCAGTTCAGGAAACTTAGTGCAAAAGTGATCAATTTTGTTCCAGCAAGTGATTCCACAACCTTATGCACTCCAGAGAGAGAGATGACTTACGGTCGATCAAATTCATATCATTTTAAATCCCTCTCAAAATTGATTAGAATACTAATCTAAGAGTACTTCTCCAAAGGTTTATGTGATCTACAGAGTAAGAAACGTTCCCTTTCTCACCTTGTAAGGTGAAACCCCCTTAACCTGAAAAGGTGTGTTTGGACGAAGAAATCTGACTGGCTCCGTCCGGCATACGCACAGAATTCAACAGAAGTGGCGTTGAAATGTTGTACGGCGAAGAACTGTGAACACCAGTCATCCCCGGAAGAATGGAACTTTTTTCTGCTAAATCATCCTCTACTTTGTGTGAGGTTCTCTCTGGAAGACTTGGTGTTGCTGTCTCCCATGGAATATCTTCAAAAAGCCCCTCAAACCTACGAGGTGTTTCTTGGAGAAGGCTGAGAAATTCCCCGCCATTTTTCAGTCTAAGCGATGTTTGCACGGACAGATCTATATCTTTTGGAGAAGATGGCGAACCAGACAGGCTTGTTATGGGCTGCGGTGAGTTAAATGAAAAGTTAGCAAAGCCATTCTTGATACCATCCTCATCGGGTGTGCCCCTGCTGCTTGGAGTCAGCGGTGTCAGTAGAGCTGGCTCACTTGTACGACTATTACTTAGGTCTCCATCGGTGTTTGCTCCAGGGGTCACCTGAGAGTACAGATATTAAACTAAAAGAATTAGCAAAACAGAGAAATATCTATGGCTCAGGTAAACTCTGAGAGCATGGAAAAGCCCCCATGAATGATTCCCTCCTTTTCTAAAAATTCACCCCTCAGCTTCGCTTCCACTTTAATTTTCTGCGGGTCCTACGAACTTCCTGTTGTTTTCAGAGGGCATTCTTTTGTTCTAAGTACCTTGGGAAAATTCCCTTCCTAGATTTCACAGTGCCCTCCTATTTAGCGCAGCTTTAGGGATAACTTGTTTATTCCAATGGACTGTTACATTCGATTTCAAATACAAGAAATGTCAGTATGCGAAACTGACATACCAGATCGGTCAATTTAAGAGGAGAAAGTTTTCTCTCATTTGTACAAGTCATGGTACAAATAAGGGAAAACTACGAGCTAAGTGATCTGGGCATACATATTTGTTTAATAACGGAGCTCTTTTCATCAGTGGACCTGTTTGGCCGACGATTTCTGACAAATGATAGAGACCCTTATAAGAGAACACAGTTCTTTCAAACGCTGAGTGATTCTGCAACATAAGATGCTTATCAAGTTGTGTTGCCTTTGACCATAAATGTTATGTTGTCTAGTTACCTGTTGACTCTTTTGCGCTTGTTTTATCTGGTCCAGCCTAGAGGCAAATAACGACGAGTCAGGTGTTTGCCCCCGCCTTTCGTCCTGTTCACTTGTTGAGCTATCTGCTGCATGAGACTCAGACAGCCCTGACGGAGCTAAGCGTGGAGAACTCAACGAGAGCTGCGTCAATTTAATCTTGTTAAGTCTTTGAATCAGTGCAGAAGTATCAACTTCACTAGCTGACGACGGAACGTTTTGAAACGCGGTGTGTGTGACAATTGCCCCTAATTTGGTTGAGGCACGTGCGCCTGAAGTATTATGAGATTGGGATGTCCTCACCACCGACCTGGCTTTATCTGTGTTGAGTGGGATTTTTTCAGAGAATCTACTGAAAAATTCAATGCCATTAAACGATGAATTGCCGCTCTCTACAGGGGTTTCGTCAGGACTAAGATCTGTTCTTGGCGACGTAGCTTCCTCCTGAACATCAACATCCAAATTTCCTCCTTGTGGGCGAAGCCAGAATTCAAGACTAGGAGATTGCCTCATAGATAGAGGCATCTCGTCCGACATTGCTGTGAGATGGGTGGTTGGGTGAGCAGGAGGAGCCTCGTTTTGTTGTTGTGGCATTTCCTGTGGGGGCGATTCCTCGAAGAGCGATTTTGTGACTGACTTTGGTGTAGGCTGAAACATGATGCGATTAAAACTTTCGTGCGCAGAAGTGCAGTAAGCGGGCTTATCACTAGAATGATTGAGAGACGAAAATGGTCGCAATGACGATGTATCAAGTTCAGGAGTTTTTTCGTGGACCAAAGAGGTCCTGAGTGGACTTGAGGAAATTTTGCCCTCAGAATACAGAAGACCACTAACATCTCGTGGAGGAATAACCCTTGACAGGCCTCCTCTAACAGGATTGGAAGTGGTTGTTTCAGTGGACTCGTCAAGAATGGCTTGGAGAAAGCGACCGGTCTTTGTCTCAGCATTTTGTCGAGTAAATGTTTCCACTTTTGCTCGCTTGTGACCTGTAAAAATCATGGATTCGTCAGAATGAAACAACCACTTTTTCAAAGAAAAAAAGTAGGTGTAAAGGGAAAGAGAATCATTTCACTAGCAAAAGAAATTGTTTTTAAGAGGTATTTAAACTAGCTGGAAAAGGGTGAAGAGTAAACACGCAGACAAAAGCAAAACTACTCTTACCATCGTCGGATTTAGCTGGAGTTCTAGGAATCCGATCTCGAGGTTGAAATGCGCCTTGTCCTGATATAAAAAATAAGGGCTATTAAATTAGGCTACAAAACACTTCATTCAAGTAAAAGATCTTCTTTCCTCTTTTCATAACCCAAGATTGGTAGCAGTAAGCTTTGTTACTGTTTTATTTGCCCACACTTCTAACAACTATTAGGCACTAGTATACTAGAAAAGCCAGTCCATCTCACCTAGCGCACCTGCAGGATCCTCGAGTGCTTGAAGCTGCAACAGAGACCAGAGAATACCGCATTGTAAATACACGGAGATCTACCTAAAGTTGTCTTCTTACCTCGTTTGTGTTCTAAATCCTTCTTAAATTTTGGACCTATATAAGCGTAGGATCATATATGTCAAAAGTAAAACTAAACCATAACAGAGGATATCATGGATTATGTTCCCAGGACATATTTTGGACATCATAGACGAAAGTGAGCATGTGAAAATAAACAAACAACAATTTTAATGTTTTTGAATAAAGGATGACAGTTTCTAAAGAAACTGTTTGGGGCTGCGTCGGTGGGGGTAACGAAATAATTTAAATATATCAACAAAGTTGAAATGGTAAATTGGCCACCGTTACGATTATAAAAGCTGAGGTTTCGAGCGTTAGCTCTTCGTCGGAGCGAATACCTAACGCTCCGACGAAGGGCTAACGCTCGAAACGTCAGCTTTTATAATCGTAACGGTGGCCAATTTACCATTTCAACTTTGTTGATATATTTAAATTATTTCGTTACCCCCACCGACGCAGCCCCAAACAGTTTCTTTAGAAACTGTCATCCTTTATTCAAAAACATTAAAATTGTTGTTTGTTTATTTTCACATGCTCACTTTCGTCTATGATGTCCAAAATATGTCCTGGGAACATAATCCATGATATCCTTTGTTATGGTTTAGTTTTACTTTTGACATATATGATCCTACGCTTATATAGGTCCAAAATTTAAGAAGGATTTAGAACACAAACGAGGTAANTCGGTGGGGGTAACGAAATAATTTGAATATATCAACAAAGTTGAAATGGTAAATTGGCCACCGTTACGATTATAAAAGCTGACGTTTCGAGCGTTAGCCCTTCGTCGGAGCGAATATTCGCTCCGACGAAGGGCTAACGCTCGAAACGTCAGCTTTTATAATCGTAACGGTGGCCGATCTACCATTTCAACTTTTTTGATATATTTAAATTTTAATGTATAGTCGGAAAAAATCCAAAGTACACATTATTTCTGTGTACACAAATATCACAGCCCTAGGGAGGGATTCATTCTCTTCCTTTCTTTATCTTTATCATGCATTATAGAAACTGGAACTGTTGCAGAACTACGAAGAAATAGGATCCATCAGACCAAACAATGCCTCCGACAACCTTACAAACACCTGGTCGAATTGCATTCCTCAAGCACCAATCCACAATGTTCCACCTTAACAGAAACTGAGAAGAGTCCAAGAAAATCTTGCTCGTGACGTGAAATTCGAGCACCGGTGATACTTAACCTCTGACTCTTGCTTTAGTAATAGATCAGGGCCCCGCTCATGTGAGAAGAGATCTTACCTGAGGGGAGGTGGCACGGGATGAACTGCTTGATGATGAAAGAGAGCTTGAGGTAGTTTCCTGTATAGCAACAGCATCCGCGATCTGAAAACAGAGTTACAATATGACAGGAGTTAAACCTTATAGCTCTAATTCAGTAAAACCCTATACAGCCAGGAATAGAGCAGTGGCCATTGAGACCTGGAGAAAACCATGAACGTACAATCTTTCATAGCTTTTCATTCATTTAAGTGCACATATGTGTTTAGAGTACAAGGTTGGTACCTGATCTGCCAAAATGTTCTGTACTTTAGGTTTCAGAGACTGGTGCTTTTCAACTTGCTTCGCTCTTGGAGTGAAATGTGACTGAAATTGAAACACATAGTTAAGACAATAAAAAGAATAGCAGATAACAAAAAAATAATTATTCTCGACAAATACAGTGTATTAAAGCTTGTCTGGATAATGACGAATTTCATCTAACTAAAATGAAGAGAGAAAACATCTGGTGACTAAAGAGAGCAAAAATGGCAGCTAAAGAAATTATCTAAACGCTAACAAGCTCCCTATTACAGAGGTGTGAATTCGAGTCAGGGATAAAATTATCCTGAGATTGTTAGCTGTGTTGAGTAACTCTGCCTTGTATACCTGGAACCATATTATACAGAACAACATGACTGCAAAATTTGAACATATGCTCAAGCTTAATAGTGAAAACCTACTGAGTAAGGCAGACTTTTCTCAACACATGGCTGAGAGGATGGCTTCTTTTTCTTTTCAGTTGATTGGAAGGTGACAGCTCTTGTGTTCAGGGTCTAAAGCAAAGAAAATAACAAAGAATCTTTCACTTTCAGACAAGTCTTCCCAAGAGAAGATTGATAGATGGCTGGATAAGGTTCTGTTGCTTATTACAGCTAAGGAAGTATACCAATAATCAGTGAGCTTCGTCTGACACAATTCTTAATTATGCAGTGTCAATTTACTAACAGTTTTTACTGCCACATTATAATTATTATGGAAACAAGACTAATACTTGTATTGTAGTCAGCTTGCCAAAGGTAATTATGAAGTAATTATTCAACAACTTTCATTGACCCTAATCAGAATGACTTCAGCTTCTTCAGTTTAATCTGTGTTTTGATGATTATCAGAACAATTGTACTTTTTTCAGCTCATTTTCAAACCTTAATGCTTCATTATCATAATCATTGGTCAAAGGGTGATAATGGAAAAAGAAAATGTACAGCATACTTCTCAGCTAATCAATCCCTGAGGCTCAGGGAAGAGGTGCTTTGACTGTTTGATTCTTGCATTTATGTTTCCAAAAGTTATTTGAAAATTTGTGTACATGACATTAAATTGATTGTAGGCAACAGAAACAGATGAAATCAGATATCAAATAGAAAAATAAGAAATCAAATATGGTTCTGATCTTTTGATTTCTGAATTTATTGAGCTTTCAATTCTTTCCATACTGAAAACCATTGTTTAATCTATGCAAAACATTGTGTTTTGGATCTTATACAGCTAACTGCACTATGGATAGAGAGGGTGCAGCACTAACATGCATTGCACTGCTCATTCAATTGAATACAGATGTAGTGGTACAAAATCTTCCTTAGTTTAGAAAATTTCAAACCAATTCAACTATCTCCAATCTATTAACATAAACTTTTCAACCAAAGAAGAACTCAAACTACAGCAACAGTAAATGCACGAAGAAACAAAACCATTACTTCAGTGACATGGCAATACTGTATTGGCCGTGGAAGCCTAGAAGATTCCTCCTTTTTATTTCTGAAATAAATGAAATGTAATAACAGTAACACTGCCAGCTCAAATGTAACCTTTTAACAGAGTCTCATAAGTGAAGATCTGAAACATACCTGGGCTTAAAAAGAGATTCTTTTTCACCTGCAAAGAAGGATCCATATTCACATCAACTCCATTCAATTCAAGGTGATATTTATCATAATACCTTACATACATTTAAGGACTGAGAGGATAAGTGTGGAAAAGAATATTCTATGCAATATCTTTTCATTTTCTTTTAACTGTTTACAAAAAAGAGGAAAACCTTAATTGTCCTTTAACTGTTTTGTATGCCAAAAGCTAATTTGTCGGGCATATATAATAAATTCAATATGAGGTTTGCATGTAACTGACCAGAGATAATGTTCATCAAAGCTGGAAATCAACCTGGTCACTTGCCTTGATTTTACATGTTCATGTAGGCTTACCATACAACTGCTTTGTTCTGGCAGATTTGGTCCATGCTTGAATTACATCAGGTGTAGAAACTACAAACAAAATGAAGGGAGAAATGAGAGCATAAAACTAGTAAAGAAGAACAAAGTTTCCCATTTCATAAATTTGTGCTTGTTATATTTACCTGTTTCTGGTGAAAGCTTGAGACTGTCCTGAAAAGAGGTAATTCTCTGTGCCATTGGTGTGTCAGCAGGTGCAAAGGATACTGGAGGAGTAGGAGGAACTAGGCCAAGATTCTATCATTCATCACAAAATATATCAAAAGTGATTCAAATTTCAGAAATGGGGATTAAGTGTACACAATGACAACAGATTAACTTCAATTTAAACCTGACAGTGGAGGTGAAATATCGTGTTTTCATGTTATATCGGCTGGCCTACCCACATTCTCAACTAACTTACAAACACAACAGGTCCTTGTGATGCCTTGCTAGGTTTCTTCTCCAAACTCCTGTAACATTCTAACTTCAATTCCTTAATAGATTCCTTCATAGTCGGCATAGTTTCTTCTATAGATGCCCTAGGGAATAAAAAGCAACATGTACAGCCATATTAGAGGACTTTCAAGATTTTTTATGGTCATTGGAAATGTTATCTTTCCTTAATCCTTCCTTACATCATATCCCGCCTGCTTTACCATTAATTTCATCCTGAAGAATAAATCAATTCATAATTTGTCTTGATCTAACATAGATGTCTTTATGTGCAATTATGATAATTTTTACAATGACTGTTTCTATTACAATGTACATGAGCAGTACAAAGATCTCCATCTATGATCCCTTACCTTAGTGCCTTAGCGTTGGAAAGATGTGCATTGTGGGAGTGAAATGCTGACCTCACTGTTGGACAGTAATCCTCTAAGCTGGGCAGAGGTTCTATGAAATAGCACAGCATTCCTTCAATTTAGTCAAAAAAGATAATGTATAAACCATACATTAACTTTGTCCACAAAATTTAGGCTTAATAGAAGACATGAAAGATAGTTAAAATTCAAAATTGGATTCTCACTTTTTAGAGAACAAACCTTGGTAAATCTGCTCCTTTATCTTACTAAGTGACAAATTCCAAAGTTGAATAAGACTGCATAGGGGAAAGAATTCAAAATAAATGCAGTGACGTCAAACACCAAGTGAGAGCTCTAAAGAGGCTGGTTAGCCTGGTTAGCTCAAGTGGTAGAATGCTGGACTGCCATGAGGGAGGTTGAGGGTTTGAGTCCCAGACCAGACCAACACTCAGGGTCTTGAAATAACTGAGGAGAATGTGCTACCTTTCTATCATATCAAGAAATGGATAGACATTCTAGTCGTTTTGGATAAGGATGAAAAAATCATAGGCCTTATCTCCTGTATCTTCTCTACACTGGTTAGAAGGGGGCATTAAAGAACCTACACACTTTTCACAGAGAGAAGAGAATGTAGCTCCCGGTGTTGTGTGGTCTGGCCTGTTTACTGAAATTGGGGTTGGGGATAGAGAAAGGTAATTTACCTAGTACAGTTGGGGACAGCCTTGTCCTATTGTAAATTTACCAGCCTTTGGCAAATTGTAAATAAAAACAAAAACAAAAAAGGTACAATTACAAAAGAAAGTGGTATTGCTGTCTTTGAGACCAGATAACTCAACACTAATCTCCAACAGGGTATCACTTACTATTAAAAACTGGATCATTGGATGATGCAATTCAAGACTTTTTATTGGCTTAGCCATTATGGTATATGAGCCAATATACCATAATCTACAAATATGGTAAGCATACGCATCAGCTTAAAATTAAAAGGGAGCTAAAAAATTTTAATAAAACAAAAAAATTTTAATAAAACAATTATTCCACTCGTGCTTGTTGAATATGAGATGATTATAGCCAACTCAGCACTATGTGCCTTGTTGGCTATCTATCATCTCATATCCAACGTGCACTCATGGAATAATTGTTAAATATTTGCTCTTCTCAAGGAGAGGGGTATAAGTATAAGGAACCTCCAATTACAACCTAACTGAGCACAAGCAAGCAGAGGAAAAATAATCTATACTGCTAAACATCAACTCAAATTTGGGACTCTGCTCAATGTTTACCCTTCTGCAATAACTTTTAACTATTTTTGGAATGCTGTTTTAAAAACTTAAAACATACTCCTCTCAAAAGATGTCAGCACTGAACACAAACTAACTCATGATATTGGTATAACCAATTAAACAACAAAACAGAAAAATAAAACTTTACAAAAAAAGTCAAACCACACTCATCAATGCTGTCTGAGCTAGAGACATCCACGCAAAACTACTATCAATCAGTTTTTTGCTGAACATTCAACTAACAAACCACTCATAACTGCTGAGGTTGTCAAAGTGTCAGTAAAATTTATGTCCATGACAGAACACCTTTAGGAGTACCTTTGTGCAGACAATCCTACTACTTAGTCAACTAGAACAGAACTTTACTGACTTGAAACTTTAATCAAAATAGTGACATCTACTTAAACTACTGACAGTGTGACATATACTCACAACACTTACCTCAGAAGATTCACTTTTCCACCACAATAAGTGTCTTCAATATTTCTCTGTGGAAAAGTTGGATGTCACCATACATGAAAGAAAAAAATTAATGATCAATACCCTCATTGCGGAATCTCACACTGCTTCAGTTTTTGGAACACTGAAGAAAAACATCAAATAAGGAAAGTTAAAAAATGATTAAGAAATAGATGGCATGAGTTATCTTCTCAAACCTTCCTTATCTCCCTTTCAGAATCTCTCAGCAGCATATCTGGAACCTGGCAAGATTAATAAAGAGCCATAATAATTATTGATTCCATAGTCATTAAAACAACTGAGATATTTTACAAGGGTCCTTTGCAACCAACAATCTGGATTTGGCATCAATAGTGTTTTAAAATACAAGTTATATTTGACATAGTACTTCATGAGCCTCAAGAATCAAATATGCAAACACTGCAGCTTAAAAACTAGAGATATGTACTCCCTGAATTAAGATCTACATACCCCATGGCTAAATTCGACAAATGTGATGGAGTTAAAGCATGTGTGATGCCTTGGAAAACAAGTGGCAGCAATTCCATCTACCCACATATAATTACCCATACAAAATGGACAACATTAATTTTGGACAAAATTTTACAACAGTATTCCTACAAATCCAGCAACTGAGATACATATTCACTCACTCTTGGTTCTACATCTGACACATCAATGTGGTACTTATTTGCTTCACCCATGAGCACTGTGTCCACTATCTTTCTCTGTTCGAAAGGGTAAAGAGAAATAATCATTATAATGAAAACAAAAATATTACGATCGATCTTCAAAACAGCTATTAACTAGTGACACATGTATTTTGAGTTTTTGCTGAGAATTTTATGTGCATACCTGGGGTTCTTGCATAGAGTGGAATTCTGCAATTCCAGTCCACAAGTCACGAACCTGCCGATAAAACATGGTATACAAACAAGTTTTTGAACTAACTTGCAACAAAGAAACAGACTTATCAGCTATGGTAGATAAAGTAACCAGCAAATTGGCTTCAGATTTTTCCACCTTTAGTAACTGATTTATCACTACTTCTTTAAACCAGTGAAATAGGTTCTTAAAAGCAAACCCTTGAATGAATGAATAACTTTATTAACGCGTCAATCGTTCTAGGTTTTACAAGTAAAAACTAATGTAGGGGACACCTACTACAATAAAAAGAAAGTGGATCTGTCAAAGCAGCTGATGGCTTAAGATGGCTCAAAATTATTTGCAAGTTCTAAAATCAATTCTTTCATGAATTGTTACTGCCACTCTCTAAAACTTGTCTTAAAACACTTCCCTATTAAATCTCGGCAGATTGAGATTTTTCTTTGTTGTGTAAAGTTTCCAGCTTCTTACTGGCACTCTCAATCTTAGCTTAAAGGGCTTTCAACTCATTAAAATTAGGCTATCCACATTCATCTCTCTACAAAGGGTGTCACTGGTTGAGCCACCTAGTTGTCTAAAACTTCAGGTGGTTCTTCACCTTGAAGCACGCTCATGACAGGATACATGACTGTGCAATTCTCCATAATTATTTCAAGGTTTAATTTTCCCGTCATGTTTGTGAGCATACAATCAAAAGGGATCAACTTGATTTTCAAAAGAAATGACTAATTATGGAAAATCTCCATGGTTAATCCTTTATTTGATTGATGATTATAAACCCACATCTGAGCAGATGCATAATAGAACCACTAACAAAAAAGATTTGTTAAAGACAGAGTGGGCTTTGGACAACTGAACTGCAGCTGCAAGGCCTGCTTACTGACAGTACATATATCATGTAGTTTACCATCATTTAATCATGAAAAAAAGAAAGCACTACCAACCTTTTGTAAATATTGAGTCCTTTTGAGTGCTTCAACATCTTCCCGGTAATCAGTCCTTATACTGAAAACAAAAGTATAAACTGTTTTAACAAACCTTCATGAGCTATTATTGTTATGGAATTATTTGTATAAACTTACTCCTGATATTTCAACCACTGTCTTAACCATGCTTAAAATCATTGTTTGGATTTTGGTAATTTTAAGCCTTGCTCAGCAACCTATCCAAAAACCTACAATGTTGCAAATTCTCCTTCTTCAGAAGGGATGATTTCATACAATCATAATACTTTTTAATGTTGCAGAGAAAAATTACAATTTTGGGATACTTTTGGGAGCATACTTCTACATTAAATTTCTCATAATAATGTTTGTAACCCCTTCTGTTAATGCTGAATGTTACCCTTTCTGAGAGAAGTTGCACAATATTTTTCTATTAGATTGACACCTCCATGATTAGACTGAGTGCCTTTAGGTAGAAAATTATAGTTAGTGTTTCAATTCAGGACAAGACCCCATGAAATTAAGATCATTTTTAACTCGTGAATTGCGTGTGCGCAAGAGCAAGTTGTAGGTATGATGTGACGAATGGCGCTCGCTCACTCGCTCAGTCGATTCCTGTAAACTTTTTCTATTTTAGGCTTTTGAATGCATTTGATAGTTTTTGNATAAGTTTCTCATAGTAAGACCTATTTTTTTCAAAATGAGTAAGTAAAGATCTCAAAAGAGAGCACTTACTTCTCAAAGATTGTTAAATAATACATCATCCCTATGTCCTTGAGACAAGGATCTTAACTCCAGGAAGTGGTTCTTTCTATCAATATTTTGTGCATGTAACACAGGTTAGCCAGGCCATACTACAAACTCAACAACAACTTTTAATCTGACATAATAAACCCAAATTGTGCTTTCTTTAAAATGTTTTACATTATTTTGAACTTAAGATACATGCACAGCAGCAAGTTTTATTTTGAAGCAAGACTTTAGTTACACCTCACTTCATTTGATGTATATTAAATTAACAGCAAAGTGACATGGCTTTATACCTAACACCAATTCTTCAAGAAATGGCACAGCTATATGTTAACTTAATATGCTGAAATTTTAACTGTTCAATAAAAATCTTTATGCAGATTTACCAATACTAAAATAAACAGTATATAGTGGCTTTGTGACAAACACAAATTCCTCAAGGAATATGTATAGTAGCCTTTCCTTTGAATCATACTCTTTCTCTTTGTCAAAAATTTTGCTACAGATTTGCCTGTACTTGTCGTATAGGCTTTACACCTAGGACATATTCTTCAAGAAATTGATACAGCAACTTTTCTTTTGAATCATATTGAAGATTAAAACAATAATAAGCTGACAACAATCCCTTTACAAGGATGAATATCCTTGCTGGTGTATGACCATAATTACTTCTGTCAACAAGTGGTTTATATTTAGTTTGAAATTCTTTACTCTGGTTCAGTAATTTTTTTGTATAATAATCACATGCTTGTAAGTAAAAATTATAAATTGTAGCAGTTTACATTCCATGCTTATTCTTCTGGAAGTTATAAATTTATGATTTATTTTGACAACCACTTTGATCGTCATTTAAAATTAAAAATTATTTTTTGTGAATTACATGCAACAAGGATATTCCTAATGCTTTATATTTAGGGTAAACTAGGAACACTCAAAACTGTGGTCTTGTTTCATGAAGAATCGCAGATATTGAGTGTGTTGAAAGAAAAATTAATGTAAAAAAGCTTTTTAAATTATAATTGTTATATTTCCTTGGGAATTTGACAAGCACAATTCCACAGATATTTCTGAAATTTTGGCAAGCATTTATCATAAATCTAGTTGGAAGAACCTTTACATAGATAGATTTACTGCCACTCTCTAAAACTTGTCTTAAAACACTTCCCTATTAAATCTCGGCAGATTGAGATTTTTCTTTGTTGTGTAAAGTTTCCAGCTTCTTACTGGCACTCTTAATCTTAGCTTAAAGGGCTTTCAACTCATTAAAATTAGGCTATCCACATTCATCTCTCTACAAAGGGTGTCACTGGTTGAGCCACCTAGTTGTCTAAAACTTCAGGTGGTTCTTCACCTTGAAGCAGGCTCATGACAGGATACATGACTGTGCAATTCTCCATAATTATTTCAAGGTTTAATTTTCCCGTCATGTTTGTGAGCATACAATCAAAAGGGATCAACTTGATTTTCAAAAGAAATGACTAATTATGGAAAATCTCCATGGTTAATCCTTTATTTGATTGATGATTATAAACCCACATCTGAGCAGATGCATAATAGAACCACTAACAAAAAAGATTTGTTAAAGACAGAGTGGGCTTTGGACAACTGAACTGCAGCTGCAAGGCCTGCTTACTGACAGTACATATGTCATGTAGTTTACCATCATTTAATCATGAAAAAAAGAAAGCACTACCAACCTTTTGTAAATATTGAGTCCTTTTGAGTGCTTCAACATCTTCCCGGTAATCAGTCCTTATACTGAAAACAAAAGTATAAACTGTTTTAACAAACCTTCATGA